TGCAATTTTTAACCATTTGTAGCTGGAATTGATGCCTCCTCACTCCCTTCTCAGGGGGTTGGTGAGTTTAATGTCGATCAGATCTGCTCCCTGCACGGTACTGAAACATAATTCTAACTGGCTCTGGAGAAGTTGTTTCAGCTGGTGGCCCTTTAAACCTCGTTCTAGACATTTCTCCCTCTGCTGCAGTTGGCAAAATAGAAATAAACCTGCTCTCAGGAGCACGGAGCAGCCATGGAAGCTCCGGCCAAAGCGCCCCCAGCATTCCCTAGCGAGGGAGGGTCAATAAAGACCTGCAGGGCCGATCAATGGCTTTGCTGTTTCCCTTCCCCGCTGTGCCCGAGCCGAGCCGAGCCGAGCCGAGCCGGGAGGGCCGGGCAGGCTCCCTCCCGGAGCCGCTGAGTTCCGAGCTCTTGTGGCTCTCCGGCTCCTGCCGCTCCCCCCGTGTCCGTGTGTCAAGGGCCGCTGCCTCGGCCGCCCTCCGCGATCTTTAGACGACTTCGCCGTCGTAAACCAGAACCGGGGCGAGCGCCAGAGAGGCGTGAAACTTTTCCGCCGCGACTTTGGCCGTCACCGCCCCCCTGCCCGGTCACTGCCCGTCCGCTCCCTCCCTCCCTCCCGGTCTCTCCATTGCCCCCGACGGGCGGCTCTGCCTGTCCCTGCGGCCCCCCCGCTCCCCCCCAAAACCCAAAAAGCGCGATCCGCTTTGAGAAAAGTCGCTTTCAGAAAAGTTCACTTTATTTACAAGGGGGGCTCCGGGGCCTCCCCCCTGTTTACACACGCACATTTGTAAAATTAGCCAACCCCCCTGACAAAAACGCAAAGGAATGGCTGAGAAATAAATAAACCTCTCCCCCCCTCCGAAGCGGAAAGGCTCCAAGCCAGCGGGGTTCTGCTCCTCCCCGGCCCGGGGCTCAGGCGATCCTGCTGCAGAACTCGTCGAAGTCCCTCTCCATGAAGAGCTCGCTCTCGATCACATCGTCCTCCGAGGGGAAGTACTGCTGGCTCTCCTCCTGCGGGGAACCCGCGGCTGCCTCGGCCCCGGCTCGGGCGGGCGGGGAGCGGGCGGCGGGTCCGGGCTCCCCCGCGCACTCCATCAGCGCTCCGCGGGCGTTCTCCAGCACCCCCAGGTACGAGTCCATGTCCAGCGGGTCCATCTCGCAGTCCGACCCGCCGCTCTCGGTGCCCACCGAGTCCGAGCGCAGGTGCATGAGCTGGTACTTCTCCCGCATCAGGAACTGGTTGGTGTTGCGGGGCGCCCGCATGCCCGGCGCCCGCCGGCCCAGCACATTGACGGGCCGCAGGGAGAGCAGCACCCGCGGCCGCGCCGGGCGGTGGCAGCGGCGGAAGGCGCGGCAGTGCTGCTGCTGCAGCTGCTGGTGCTGGTAGTGCTGGAAGTGGCTGTGCGTGCGGCTGCCCAGCAGCTTCCGCGCCCCGCCGGGGACCCTCCCGCGCCGCCCCGGCGGCCAACGGGAGCGGCTGCCGCCCCGCCGGGGCTCGCCGCCCTTCAGCGGCGTCGGGGAGGCGCCCCCCGGCACCCCCTCGCCGCGGGCGGGCTCCCAGGGCGGGCACACGATGAACTCCGCGCGTCGCAGCATCGCGGCCCCCCGGCCTCTCACATGCTCCGAGCCGCCGGGACGCCCCCGCCGCGCTGCTCCTGCGCCGTCGCCTCTCCGGCGCGTCCTCCGCTTCTCTCCGGGCTGAGCGGCCGCTTCCCAAGAGCCCTGCGGGGGCCTCTGCGGGCGCCTCTACCTTTTCACGATCCGCTCTGTTTTTTTCTTGAGCGGAGCCCGTTGGCAGCGCATAGCCTGGCTGAACGGCTGCGGGCTGCGGGGCAGCTTGACGGGTTCCAAGCCGCCTCTTCGGAGATGGTCTCGCCTACTCCCCGGCCGGGCGCTGCCGGGCTGTCAGCGCTGCGCCGGGCACGGCGGGCCGGGGCAGGGCCCGGGAGCGAAGCGAGCGAGGGGAGGGGAGGGGAAGGCGCCGAGGCTCAGGGACCGCACAGGGAGCGCGCGCACCGCCCGCCGCCCCGCGCCCACTGCCGATGCGCTTCCGCGCAACCCCTACTTATGACCTCCGGCGCAGTCCAACTGCCGCCGCGCCGCGGGGGAGGGCCGGGGCAGCACAGCCGCTCCTCAGCCGGCCTGTCCCCTCCAAACTTGGCCCTCCGCGCCCGAGGAGCGCGGGGTCGCCGCGTCACAGCAGCCCGCGCCTTCGTATCTCCCGTGTTATCCCGGGTTATCCCGGGATCTCTTCCCCCTTGGGCGCGCTTTGGCTTGGCTCAGAGCTGCGGGCGCATTTTGTTCATGCCCTATTCACGAAGACCGCTTACGCTCAGCTCCCGCGCAAGCACCGTTGCCCGCCTGCCCCTTGCAGCGGCGCCACGCAAACCGCGTACGGCACCTATCCCTTGCAGCGGCGCCACGCAAACGGCGTACGGCGCCCATTCCTTGCAGCGGCTGTACGCAAACCGCTCCGCAAACCGCGTACGCCGCCCGTGAGGGGGGGCGCCCGTCCCTTGCAGCGGCTGTACGCAAACCGCGTACGCCGCCCGTGAGGGGCGCTGGGTGGGGTGGGGGGGTGGTGGTGAAATGGCCGTGGGGGCAGCGGGAAGGGAGAAGGGGCGGCCTGAGGCCGGCACCGGGCGCTAGAGAAGCCGCGGCGCTTAGTGCCAGTCCCCGCGGCCGCCCTTCCTCTGCTGCTCCATGCTGCGGCCGGCGCCACCTCCGGGCAGCGGTGACCTTCCCGCGGGTCCCACAAAATGGTGCCCGTGCCTTCCCCCTCAGACGCTTCATGGCAGGGGAGTCCCCTCCTGAGGCTTCATGGTGGTTTTTATTTTATTTTATTTTATTTTATTTTATTTTATTTTTTCCCTTTAACTTCTCCAGCGGAATCGGTGCTTTTTCATCAGTCTAGAGTGAAAAATGAGAGCAAAGACATTCATTCTTGTAGTTTGGGGAATGTCCCAGTTACTTGTGCTGGGCCTTGGTCCCTCTACTACAAATTTCCCCTGATTTTCCAATCTGTTTTGGGCGGCGTTTTTCTGCCCTGTATGTGACTAACCTGACAGTGACTTCCCTGCTCACGCCCTCCCCACTCCTCCCAACCTGATCATGGAAAACAAGCTCAGTGTTGCCCAAATGCTCCCAAGTAAAGGCTGTGCGTGAACAAGGGTAGCAACTCCCATGCAGGTAACATTTTATTACAATTTAACAGTGAAGGGCAAAGAAGTACAAAATATACAGGGGGAGACAAGGTAAAGGCCTGGATTTGGGCTAAGTACGGAGTCAACGTTGCCAAAACCAAACTGCCCACATTCGTATGTTTCACTGCTCTAGAGTGTGTATTTCTAAGCAGTGTTTGTTTCAAATTCCATTCAGGAATTGTATGGAATTCCATTTAAACTCAGCTGGTGTTATCACCTGTGTGTTTTACAAACTAAAGGCCAAAATGGAAGGGGTTGGCACTGGAGCAAGCAGCAGCTGTCTAAAATCTGCATCCCCCGAGATCTGAGGGCATGTGAGAGCAGGGGGAGGCTGCAGCGCTTTCAGAGTTCATGAGGATGTTTGTAAAGAAATGCCACATCATGTGGCAGAATCCACATCCCGAGTTGTCACAGGCTTTGTCACAGATGTATTAGGCAGCAGTGTGGCTTGAATAAACTTCTACCACTCCAAACTTCCCTCCTGGATACAGAACATCCCAGAACTCTGTGTTTGTACGCGGGACTCTCCCCTGGCAACCACATGCATGCAGTCTCTCCTGCCTGGCTGGTCAGCCCAGCTCAGTCTGGCCTCAGTTCCCATTTTCTCTTCTGTTTCTCTGAGTTGGGTGCAGATTGAGTCTGCATTTCTTTTAGCTGTTCTAGAAGGATGTAGGAAATTTTGTGTAGAAAGGAGTTTTGTGCTACTTTGTGCAGGAAAGAATTCCAGGTAATGTGCCTCCCTTCACATCTGGATTATCTCTAATCCACCCACTGCCACTGCCCTGCACAGACCAGTGAATTCATCCTGTACCCAGTCCTGCGAATTAACAACTAAAGCTTTTATTGAAACCTTCATTGGTACCTACATCTCTATGAGTAAAAAGATTTTAGAGCAATTTGAAATCATTACTTGGAGGCAGCTGAAGTGTTTGTGCCATTATTGACCTGGCCTTCATTCCCCACGCTCTGTTCTGGGCAGGGTTCAGGTGTGCAGGCTGGGAAATCTCCCTCCCTCACCTTCCTGCCTCACTTCTATTTTTCCATGTCGAGAGCCTTTTCACAGCCGTTTGCAGCACTAGAAAAGCGAAGGAAATGTTTTTTAATGTATCATGAAATGTTTTGTAATTTCTCAGTGGTTGCCAGCCAGCAATAATATTTTTTCAAACCCTTAAGTTTCCTTTGACATGGGAATCAAATTTACCAATTTGGTTTTTTAAACTTTTTAAGATTTTTTTTTTTTTTTTTTTTTTTTTTTTCGCAGGAGGGGGGGGTTTTTTTTTGTATTTTTTAAATTTTTTTTTTTTTTTTTTTTTTTTTGCAGCAGAGGAGGGACTTTTGTTGTAGTTACAGCCTTAAGAATTGGTATCTTGAGATATTTAAGAGTATCCCTTTAACGGTGGTAAGGTAGAGCTCCCGAGAGGAGTCCGGTAGAGGCCCTCGGTATCCAGTTACCGGGAGAAGCCCAGCGTCCTGGCCTCGCTGGTTAGAGCCGGATGGGGCTCTGCAGGACAGCCAGCACGGCTCGTGCCCGGGTTTGGGCTCGGGGCCCGCGGCTCAAGGGTGCCCGGGCCATGGACCGGGCTCATTTCCCCGCGAGCCCCTGAGGGAACCCCCGGGCCCTCCCCGAGGCCCCGCCCCGCCCAATCAGGAGCCACGGGGCGGCCGCGCGGGGAGGTTTTCCCGAGCTGCCTCGCGCCGCCGTGACGCACCGCACCGGGAGAGCTCGCTCCCAATGGGCGGCCGTCTTACAAAGCTCCTTTGTGCGACCGCAGAGAGCCGCGCGCTGATTGGCCGCGGCGCCGGCGGTGCTTCCGGCCATGCTGCGCCGGGCGCGATTGCATCATGGCGGGACGGAGGTGAGCGGGGGGGCCCGGCCCGGCCGGGCTCAGCTCCTGCGGCTCCGGGACGCGAGGGCGCGCCGGCTGCAGCGGCGTGCCGGGGGAGCCGGTGCTGGGCGGCACCTTCGGGGTGTGGCGGGAGAGCGGCGGCTCGTGGGCCGGCAGTGGCGGTGCTGTCACCGCGGGAGCGGGTCCGGCCGGGCTGGCAGCTCCCCCGCGGCCTTTAGCGTTGTTAGCTCGTGTTTTGTGTGTACAGCGTCACCTTCATGTGCGTGTTTTACTGCCTGGGTGCTGTACGGATTCTTTGCTTTTTCGGCATTTTAGGGATTACCTATAGGAGGTACTTCTTAAAGGTTAGCCAGGTGCCTTATTGCAGGGCTTGATACTTAGCAACTCTTGGTTTCATTACTTATTTGTATTTCAGGGCTTAATGCTTAGCAATTCTTGGTTTCATTAGTTATTTGGACAAAGAACTTAAGGTCCCTTACAACGTGTAGTATGTCTTAAGCATTCCCTTCAGCATCTTTTTAATAGGGGATTTGATGAATGCACCCTTTTTATTGCTGCAGCTGCGGTGACTTTGATATCTCCAGCAATCTTTGGCTTCCACACCCCGGGAGCCTTTTGGAAACTTTAATTCGGTTTGCTGGTGACATGCTTAGAAAGCAGCTGTCAGGTAATAGAATTCAGTTGTCACATAAAAGCAGTGTTCAGTAACTCAGCTGACAGTGGTTCCTGACTTTTTATTAAAAAGACGTAATTCAAAGTTATTTCAAGATAACCTAGATTTCTTTTTTTCACCATGATGTGTTACATTTTTAATCGAGGTAGCATGATGGCAACAAACATTTCTTAAGCCATCACAAGATACAGTGTAAAACTGGGCTCTTGCATAGCATGAAGCTTTTGTATCTCAAGACAGCATTGATGAGTGTGCTTATTGCTTTGGCAATGTTTTAATTGGCCTTTCAGTGTTAAAGGAAATCCTTGCAGGGGGACAGCTGGGCCAGTGTTGCAGTTTTATTCCCTTTATAAGACACTTGCACAGGATTTTCAGAAGCAACGTTTGTTCTGTAGCTCAGCATTCTCTTCCCATCCTTCCTTCCTTTTGTTTTAAACTTGGTTGTTTCCACCCGTTCTAGAAATGGAGAATTTTGGCTATCAGGTGAACGGTTTAGACTGATGTTACACCAGAACAGAAAAAGGCAGAAATGGGGGGCCAGGTGTGTATGGAAAATAGAGCATTGTTTAATTTTGGAGAAAGCAGCTGTAGGTGAGGAAAGGAAGCTACTTGTCTTTGGAGGGAGCTTTGGTCTCTTTTACAAAATAGTTTGTGGGAGAAGGTGACTGGAACAAGAGTAAGAGACTGATCATAAACCCCTGGAAATGAGAAACCTTTTGTACACCTTTAGTTCCTCCTGTGTTTTTATATTTACTATTTCTCAGTCAACAAAATGGTTAATATCATGAAGTCCACTTTGTTTTAATCGTATATCTGATTATGGAAAGTACAATATTTCTCAAATGTGGGTTCACTTCATTCATAATGGTGTTGTAATTGAATTTTTATTGTTTTTTTAAAAATTAATATTTTAAAAAAGTACACAGGAACTTGCTTTTATGGTTTTAATGCTTTTTTTTTTCTTGTAGATAAGAAGCCCAGCTTAAGTCTCAGACTGCTGTAGTACAATCTCCAAACTTTTGACACCTTTGCTAGTGAATGTTATCCTCTAGAAAAGTGAGTGTACTTAATAAAAACTTGCTTAATGGTGCATTGTCTTAAACTCTGACACTTCTTATCAGCAGAAAATGCACAGAGAACCCTTCCTGTGTTTATTGAGCTCTGTAGATGTGAAGTGTTGTCTGAAAATTGGGTTTTATTAGATGTGTTTGTATAATTTCTGTAATATGGTTTGTGATGTTTTTGCTCAGTCTGTGTTCAAAGTAATGAAGTTGTCCTTCATTATTTTGTGATTGAAAATACCCAGATTGCTTATAAAGAGCTTTCTTTCTGTGCTGTAGATATTCATACCTCTGCCTATAAAATGATTGTTAGCTCTTGGCTTTTTTTCTCAGCTGAGGTTGAGCCATGGCAAGATTTTCAGTGTGCTTTTGCCTTTTAAGTCAGTCTGTTTAAAATTCTAAATTCCCATAAAATTCAGGTTTGTAACTTGGACAAAATGACCGGTAGTGATGGTTGCACCTTAATTCCCAACAGTATTTATTCCCCCCTGCTTCTGATGCAATAGGCCTGTTGCTGAGGGAGTGGGTGGTTTGTGCCCTGTGGTTGCTGGACACTGCTGTGCCCGTGCAGTGCTTCAGTTGGGAGGATGGGCCCACAGTGACTCTGTGACCTACGCAGGGAGGCTGTGAGCCGTGAGCAGCCTCCTCAGCCCTGCCACAGGCACAGCCCAGCCCAGCCTGCCTGCTTTCCTCAGGCCCGGCAGCTGGCCGGGCTCCAAACCCTGTGCAGTTCGCTGATGTGGGAGGGCTGAGCTGGAGCTGAGTACCACGTGCAGATCCTTAAGCCTCAGTGTCCATGTGTTCCTGGGTCCCAGGATGAGGGAAGAGAGGAATCTGACTCCATATTTCTTAGAAGGCTGTTTTATTATATTATTATATTATATTAAAAAAGTGCTATACTAAACGATAGAGAGAAAAGAATACCTCAGAAGGCTAGAAAAGGATTGAATAATAAAAACCCGTGGCAGACTCAGAGTTTGACACAACTGGTTGTGATTGGTCATTAAGTAAAAACAATTCACGTGAGACCAATCAAAGATGCACCTGTTGGTAAACAACCTCCAGACCACATTCCAAAGCAATCAGATAGCTATTGTTTACATTTCTTTTCTGAGGCTTCTCAGGAGAAAAATCCTGGTGAAGGGATTTTTCATAAAAATATTGTGACACCTCAGGTCAGCTGGCTTGTGGGAGATAAAAGCTCTAAGGCTGAATTCTTTTATCATTTCCATTGTCTCTGTGATCAAGTCACTGAGAAAGGACACAGCCTAATCAGTGCTTGGAGGCAGAATGGTGAAAACTATTACATGTTCTGTGTAGAGTAACTCACTGTGCTCAGGCTGGTTATTACTTTTTAAAATACATCCAGGCCATGTCCATGTGTTCCTTGTCAGCCCCTGATTTCCCCTCCAAATGCTGTGTTGCCTGTGCACCAGGTTGTGGGATTCTCAGTTATAATAATATGGTAAAGCATAATTTGGGTTTATTAGTGGAGAGTATGGTTTGTCATGAATACAAAAGTGGTGGAGTTGATGTGTAGCATCATAGGGGTTCAAGCCTTGAGCTGGCAATTTTTGTGGTGTTCTGGGTTTCATTTAAGCAAATGTTTTGGAGCTTCAGCTGTAACTGAAAGAATTGTCTTCATGCATTTGCCTTTGTTGCTGCTTTATGGTTAAATCCCAAGACTCAGGCCTTGTGCTGCTACTTGTAATTCTCTAATGCTGAGCGAAGCTCAAAGCTGTAGTAGCTACTTCTGGTGTAAGTGTGCTCAGGAGCAGCAGCACTGAGAGGTGGAAGAACCCTTTTATTCTCTGGCATCATCTGTTACAGCCTTCATAACCAATTTTCTCCTGTTAGGGAGCTGCTGTCTCAGAACACCCTTATTTCTCAGAGCTTTGTTTAGTTCTTGCTGTGGCATTTTATTGAAATCTGACCCCTTTCCATCTCATAGCAGGTCTGGAACCAGGCAACTGCTGTGTGTTCCTAATTATTTTGAGAATTCCTCTTCCCTGTGTTGCTTGTACAGCATGGAAGTGGCCTGTTGAGGCTTAGTTGTAATATACTTATAACACTCATGTTCATCTTTGCAGTTTTTCAACTGTGCTCTCTGCAGTCTGGCTGCTTTTAGGGGCATCTGAGATTGCTGGCACAGCCTGATGGAAAATGCTCTTTTAAGCATGTAAACAGTTTGTGAATAGATGTAGAGTGAAAAGGAGCCCCTTCTTCAGTAGTTTAAAGTGAAACTCTCTGATATAAACTGGTGCTGAAGGTTATTTGAACTTGGAAGCTTTTCTTGAAGAAAAAAACCCAAACCTGTAACCAAAACATAATTTGCCCTTTGACTGTTTTCTCTAGGAAACAGAAATAAAAACATGATAAAAAAGGGAACAGTCATAGTTGAATGAATGGAGAATCCTTTTCCTGTTCCAAAACTTTGGTGTGAGTCAGTCGAAATTAGGCTTTTTTTAGAAGGGAGTGCTTGCTTCCATACCTGCTATGAATCAGGCTCTTTGGATTGGTGATATGGATTTGAAAGATGTAAGTTATATATGTGGAGTTGTTTATTCTCACTTCTGTTCAAAATGTATTTTTCTCTTATTGATCCTGGTTGGGAAAGAATGGTTCAACAAGTTCCAGAAAACATAAATTTTCCAAATGAGGAAGAGAAGATATTGACGCTCTGGAAAAATCTTAATTGTTTCAAGGAATGCCTGAAGCAATCAAAGAACAGACCTAGGTAAGAATCTGTTAAAAGCTGTAGCAATTGTGTGTGGCAGTGCAGGGTTGGCTTGGCTGTAATTACTCTTTGTTTTTCCTTGGTTCTGTAAACAGCAGCTGCTCCCTTTGCCAGCAGCAGGCCTGGCTCATGCTGCTGTCCCTTTATATTTCACTTGATGAAGAATCAGCAGTGTTCAAACAGTTGTAATAAACCTGTAATTTCCTGCCTGGTGGGTTTGTAAGAGAAATGGGGAGGTAAGCAAAGAGCTCTTCCCACTGTGGAGCTGTGGAGCAGCGTGCTGGGGTGTGCCATGGGAATCCTGGTAGGAGCTGAACAGGCTGGAATGTTCCCTTCAGTGCCACTGCCAGCGTGGCACCTGTGCTGCCTGATGATGGAAGAGGAAGGAATGGACATTTTCCAAGTGAAACACAAGTAGTATAAGTATGGAGTCACCCTGCCTGAAGGCTTGCTGCTCAGTTTTTGCTTTAATGAGGAACGTTTTGTGTTGTAGGTTTAACTTCTACGATGGCCCCCCGTTTGCCACAGGGCTCCCCCACTATGGCCACATTCTTGCAGGGACCATCAAAGACATCGTGACCAGATTTGCTCATCAGAGTGGTTTTCATGTTGACAGAAGGTTTGGCTGGGATTGCCATGGCTTGCCTGTGGTATGTGTCATGAATTTACCTGCGGATATTTCTGTAGGTTCCTCTTTCCCTGTTGTTCCCTGCTTATCACTCATATTTCTGTTGCTTTTATACCTGACATTGTTGCTAAAAGAGAAATGGAAGTTCCTTGTCCAGTGTGTTTCTCTGGCTTTTGTGTCTGGTGAGTTCAGGAGCTTCCTACTGGTCATTGCTATGAACCTGTATTTATTTGGTTCATAGTTCAGAAACTGGTGTTTTGTTTATTTTTCTGAAGAAACTAAAGAAACAGTCATGCCAGGGTGAGCCTTTGAAATCCCTCCCTAGCTCAGGTGCAGCTCCCATGAAATCCAAAAGGTTAAAGGAGGCCCCTGAGCCTCATTAGAATGTATAGGACACAAAGTATCCAGGGGAATCCTGAAAGCTTTTGATAACAGCATGTTTTGTTTGTTTGTTTTCCGTGCTCCCAGGAATATGAGATTGACAAGACTTTAGGCATTAAAGGGCCAGAGGATGTGGCAAAGATGGGGATTGAAGCTTACAACAAAGAGTGCAGAGGGATTGTGATGAGATATGCCAAGGAGTGGGAGGTGAGTGGAGGCTCAGTCCGCGTTCTGCTGAGCATTTCTAAATGTGTTTGTGCAGGAGTGTTTCAGGTGGGGGGAACTTCATCCTTTTGTCTGATTTTGTGCATAAATCTCATGTCTTTAAGCTCCTGTTTCTCCCCTGTGATCCTGAAAGGGGAACAAAAAGAGTACCTTTGTGGCTTGGAACACACTGCTGTGCTGTCAAGAGAAGGTTACTTGCAGGTTACCTGGGGCTCAGAGTGTCTAATGAGCTACACTGAACAAATAACAGATATGTTGAATAGTGTCTCTTTTTCTGTCTTCCCTTATATAGGAAATTGAAAGAGCTGACTTTGGTTTTCTAATGGAGCCATTAAAGAAAATTAACATTAACCTCACTGCTTTTCTGCTCCTCCTTCCCCACAGTCTTTTCATTGGAGAGTGCAGGGCAGCAGCTTGTAATTTTGGAAGAACAGAAATTCTCACAGAAATACCCACAAGAGGTGTGGGTAAACCCTCAGTCTTCCCAGAGAATATTGGTGTCAGCTTTTCATCCCAGGAGTACAGGGAGAGTGTTCCTGTCTGCAAGTTTGAAGAATGGTAGTTCTCTAAAGTTATTTCCAATAAAGCTTTATCTTAACCTTAATTTTTTTTTTCCTAGGCAGAACAGTCCTAATTATTTTAATTTTTTTCCTCCTGCAAAGGCTCTTCTACTTCATCACACTCCTCTACATGTTTCTAGTCTTGCTGTATTTCTTTTCATGGAAATAGGAGTTTCTTACTTGAGTATCACTTGCCTCTTGCCCTTGGGACCATTTTGAAGTTACGGCCAGTGTCTGAAGAAACCAGAGGTGCCTTGGGTAGAGAAACTGTGGCCTAAACCTCAGTGAGTGGCTGGATGAAAAGCAGACAGTTTTTTTTTTTCAAATTGCACTCTGAAATGTTGTATTTCAAACCCATCATTGATAATTCTTTGTTGCTTTTAGAAATAAAAAAAGCAAGATTCATTCTGGTTTGTTGTGGTGGTTTAACCTTAGCTGGCAGCCAAGTACCAATGAGTGGAGATAAAAACAGTTTAATTGAAGCAAAATAAAATATTATAATGATGCTAATGATAATAAAAATAGTAAAAGAGGACAGAGGGAGCAATAAAAGCCAGGAAAACCAAGTGATGCCCTGTCTGGCTGCTGAGTGATGCCCAGCCTGTCTCTGCCCAGTGATTCACAGCTCCTGGCCCAGTCCCCCCAGTTCCCTGCTGGGCACAATGTCCTGTCCTATGGAGGGTCCCTTTGGCCACTTGGGATCAGCTGTCCTGGCTCTTCTCCCACCCAGCTCCTTGTGCAGCTCCTGGCTGCCACAGCCTGGGAAACTGAGAACTCCTTGCTTCGGGCAAGCACGACTCAGCAGCACCTAAGCCAGCAATGGGTTAACAACATTATTCCTATCCTAAATCCAGAACCCAGCACTATACCAGCTGTGAAGAAAGTTAACTCTATCCCAGCCACACCTGGAACATTTGTGGTTCATTTTCCATCCCTTTTAACTTGAAAGTGCTATACTAAACGATAGAGAGAAAAGAATACCTCAGAAGGCTAGAAAAGGATTGAATAATAAAAACCCGTGGCAGACTCAGAGTTTGACACAACTGGTTGTGATTGGTCATTAAGTAAAAACAATTCACGTGAGACCAATCAAAGATGCACCTGTTGGTAAACAACCTCCAGACCACATTCCAAAGCAATCAGATAGCTATTGTTTACATTTCTTTTCTGAGGCTTCTCAGGAGAAAAATCCTGGTGAAGGGATTTTTCATAAAAATATTGTGACACCTCAGGTCAGCTGGCTTGTGGGAGATAAAAGCTCTAAGGCTGAATTCTTTTATCATTTCCATTGTCTCTGTGATCAAGTCACTGAGAAAGGACACAGCCTAATCAGTGCTTGGAGGCAGAATGGTGAAAACTATTACATGTTCTGTGTAGAGTAACTCACTGTGCTCAGGCTGGTTATTACTTTTTAAAATACATCCAGGCCATGTCCATGTGTTCCTTGTCAGCCCCTGATTTCCCCTCCAAATGCTGTGTTGCCTGTGCACCAGGTTGTGGGATTCTCAGTTATAATAATATGGTAAAGCATAATTTGGGTTTATTAGTGGAGAGTATGGTTTGTCATGAATACAAAAGTGGTGGAGTTGATGTGTAGCATCATAGGGGTTCAAGCCTTGAGCTGGCAATTTTTGTGGTGTTCTGGGTTTCATTTAAGCAAATGTTTTGGAGCTTCAGCTGTAACTGAAAGAATTGTCTTCATGCATTTGCCTTTGTTGCTGCTTTATGGTTAAATCCCAAGACTCAGGCCTTGTGCTGCTACTTGTAATTCTCTAATGCTGAGCGAAGCTCAAAGCTGTAGTAGCTACTTCTGGTGTAAGTGTGCTCAGGAGCAGCAGCACTGAGAGGTGGAAGAACCCTTTTATTCTCTGGCATCATCTGTTACAGCCTTCATAACCAATTTTCTCCTGTTAGGGAGCTGCTGTCTCAGAACACCCTTATTTCTCAGAGCTTTGTTTAGTTCTTGCTGTGGCATTTTATTGAAATCTGACCCCTTTCCATCTCATAGCAGGTCTGGAACCAGGCAACTGCTGTGTGTTCCTAATTATTTTGAGAATTCCTCTTCCCTGTGTTGCTTGTACAGCATGGAAGTGGCCTGTTGAGGCTTAGTTGTAATATACTTATAACACTCATGTTCATCTTTGCAGTTTTTCAACTGTGCTCTCTGCAGTCTGGCTGCTTTTAGGGGCATCTGAGATTGCTGGCACAGCCTGATGGAAAATGCTCTTTTAAGCATGTAAACAGTTTGTGAATAGATGTAGAGTGAAAAGGAGCCCCTTCTTCAGTAGTTTAAAGTGAAACTCTCTGATATAAACTGGTGCTGAAGGTTATTTGAACTTGGAAGCTTTTCTTGAAGAAAAAAACCCAAACCTGTAACCAAAACATAATTTGCCCTTTGACTGTTTTCTCTAGGAAACAGAAATAAAAACATGATAAAAAAGGGAACAGTCATAGTTGAATGAATGGAGAATCCTTTTCCTGTTCCAAAACTTTGGTGTGAGTCAGTCGAAATTAGGCTTTTTTTAGAAGGGAGTGCTTGCTTCCATGCCTGCTATGAATCAGGCTCTTTGGATTGGTGATATGGATTTGAAAGATGTAAGTTATATATGTGGAGTTGTTTATTCTCACTTCTGTTCAAAATGTATTTTTCTCTTATTGATCCTGGTTGGGAAAGAATGGTTCAACAAGTTCCAGAAAACATAAATTTTCCAAATGAGGAAGAGAAGATATTGACGCTCTGGAAAAATCTTAATTGTTTCAAGGAATGCCTGAAGCAATCAAAGAACAGACCTAGGTAAGAATCTGTTAAAAGCTGTAGCAATTGTGTGTGGCAGTGCAGGGTTGGCTTGGCTGTAATTACTCTTTGTTTTTCCTTGGTTCTGTAAACAGCAGCTGCTCCCTTTGCCAGCAGCAGGCCTGGCTCATGCTGCTGTCCCTTTATATTTCACTTGATGAAGAATCAGCAGTGTTCAAACAGTTGTAATAAACCTGTAATTTCCTGCCTGGTGGGTTTGTAAGAGAAATGGGGAGGTAAGCAAAGAGCTCTTCCCACTGTGGAGCTGTGGAGCAGCGTGCTGGGGTGTGCCATGGGAATCCTGGTAGGAGCTGAACAGGCTGGAATGTTCCCTTCAGTGCCACTGCCAGCGTGGCACCTGTGCTGCCTGATGATGGAAGAGGAAGGAATGGACATTTTCCAAGTGAAACACAAGTAGTATAAGTATGGAGTCACCCTGCCTGAAGGCTTGCTGCTCAGTTTTTGCTTTAATGAGGAACGTTTTGTGTTGTAGGTTTAACTTCTACGATGGCCCCCCGTTTGCCACAGGGCTCCCCCACTATGGCCACATTCTTGCAGGGACCATCAAAGACATCGTGACCAGATTTGCTCATCAGAGTGGTTTTCATGTTGACAGAAGGTTTGGCTGGGATTGCCATGGCTTGCCTGTGGTATGTGTCATGAATTTACCTGCGGATATTTCTGTAGGTTCCTCTTTCCCTGTTGTTCCCTGCTTATCACTCATATTTCTGTTGCTTTTATACCTGACATTGTTGCTAAAAGAGAAATGGAAGTTCCTTGTCCAGTGTGTTTCTCTGGCTTTTGTGTCTGGTGAGTTCAGGAGCTTCCTACTGGTCATTGCTATGAACCTGTATTTATTTGGTTCATAGTTCAGAAACTGGTGTTTTGTTTATTTTTCTGAAGAAACTAAAGAAACAGTCATGCCAGGGTGAGCCTTTGAAATCCCTCCCTAGCTCAGGTGCAGCTCCCATGAAATCCAAAAGGTTAAAGGAGGCCCCTGAGCCTCATTAGAATGTATAGGACACAAAGTATCCAGGGGAATCCTGAAAGCTTTTGATAACAGCATGTTTTGTTTGTTTGTTTTCCGTGCTCCCAGGAATATGAGATTGACAAGACTTTAGGCATTAAAGGGCCAGAGGATGTGGCAAAGATGGGGATTGAAGCTTACAACAAAGAGTGCAGAGGGATTGTGATGAGATATGCCAAGGAGTGGGAGGTGAGTGGAGGCTCAGTCCGCGTTCTGCTGAGCATTTCTAAATGTGTTTGTGCAGGAGTGTTTCAGGTGGGGGGAACTTCATCCTTTTGTCTGATTTTGTGCATAAATCTCATGTCTTTAAGCTCCTGTTTCTCCCCTGTGATCCTGAAAGGGGAACAAAAAGAGTACCTTTGTGGCTTGGAACACACTGCTGTGCTGTCAAGAGAAGGTTACTTGCAGGTTACCTGGGGCTCAGAGTGTCTAATGAGCTACACTGAACAAATAACAGATATGTTGAATAGTGTCTCTTTTTCTGTCTTCCCTTATATAGGAAATTGAAAGAGCTGACTTTGGTTTTCTAATGGAGCCATTAAAGAAAATTAACATTAACCTCACTGCTTTTCTGCTCCTCCTTCCCCACAGTCTTTTCATTGGAGAGTGCAGGGCAGCAGCTTGTAATTTTGGAAGAACAGAAATTCTCACAGAAATACCCACAAGAGGTGTGGGTAAACCCTCAGTCTTCCCAGAGAATATTGGTGTCAGCTTTTCATCCCAGGAGTACAGGGAGAGTGTTCCTGTCTGCAAGTTTGAAGAATGGTAGTTCTCTAAAGTTATTTCCAATAAAGCTTTATCTTAACCTTAATTTTTTTTTTCCTAGGCAGAACAGTCCTAATTATTTTAATTTTTTTCCTCCTGCAAAGGCTCTTCTACTTCATCACACTCCTCTACATGTTTCTAGTCTTGCTGTATTTCTTTTCATGGAAATAGGAGTTTCTTACTTGAGTATCACTTGCCTCTTGCCCTTGGGACCATTTTGAAGTTATGGCCAGTGTCTGAAGAAACCAGAGGTGCCTTGGGTAGAGAAACTGTGGCCTAAACCTCAGTGAGTGGCTGGATGAAAAGCAGACAGTTTTTTTTTTCAAATTGCACTCTGAAATGTTGTATTTCAAACCCATCATTGATAATTCTTTGTTGCTTTTAGAAATAAAAAAAGCAAGATTCATTCTGGTTTGTTGTGGTGGTTTAACCTTAGCTGGCAGCCAAGTACCAATGAGTGGAGATAAAAACAGTTTAATTGAAGCAAAATAAAATATTATAATGATGCTAATGATAATAAAAATAGTAAAAGAGGACAGAGGGAGCAATAAAAGCCAGGAAAACCAAGTGATGCCCTGTCTGGCTGCTGAGTGATGCCCAGCCTGTCTCTGCCCAGTGATTCACAGCTCCTGGCCCAGTCCCCCCAGTTCCCTGCTGGGCACAATGTCCTGTCCTATGGAGGGTCCCTTTGGCCACTTGGGATCAGCTGTCCTGGCTCTTCTCCCACCCAGCTCCTTGTGCAGCTCCTGGCTGCCACAGCCTGGGAAACTGAGAACTCCTTGCTT